CGCAAACTGGGTACGCTCGAACACCAACGCTATACCAATTTCATCTTGCTGAAGAACTCACGAGACGATCTGAACCTTGTCCTAGATTTATGGCGAGCAGTCCTCCCTTCTCAATGCCCGTTAGCTGGTCAAGAGTGATGCCGCCGAGTTCATCACGTAAGCGGGCGTGGTCAACAGTGAATGCGAGCGTTTTCAACTTGGTCCGCTCACAGAGGATCAATTCAAATGCCTGATCTTCGTCTCGGGTCTCCAGTCTGCACACGATGCCGATATCAGGAAGCACCCCCTATCCAAGCTACAACAGGATACCACTGTCACCGCGTGTGGTGGTCGCATGCAGCTAACTGTGCGGCTGCACTGCTCCCTCTCTTTCCGAGGCGCTACATTCAACGAGATATGCTACATCACGAAGACGAAGCTCAACCTACTTGGTCTCGACTGGCTCGAAATCCTTGGCTTGACCGATCTTCCTCTTCAGGCCATCTACTACGCGGTACATTCTCCGGCAGCACCAAGCGACCGAACCGACGACTTCATCAGATAGTTCCCCTCGGTGTTCCAGGATGGTGTTGACCGCTGTATACGCACTCGCGCCGCGTTACAGCTCGTACTTGGGGCTCAACCGATTTTTCGTCCCAAAAGGCCGTTCCATATGCAGCCCTACCCTTATTCGATGCCGAACTCCAACGTTTGGAAGACAGGCGTTTTGGTGCCTGTGTCTTGTTCCGCCTGGGCAGCGCCGATCGTCCTGGTCAAGAAGCCGAATGGATCCCTCCGCATCTTGTCGATTTCTCCACCGGTCTCAACGCTGCGCTAGAGCCAAATTGCTACACACTACCGATCCCAGCCGACCTCTCCACAATACTCAACGGTGGTACGTGTTTTGCTAAAATCGACCTGCAGATCAAAGTCGTACCTGAGTCACAATCCTTGTTACGTGAACAGAGAATAAGTGAAGAGCAAGATGGTTTCCTCTCAGGTCAGAGTTGCATCGATCACATTTTTACACTCTGCCAAATACAGCGTCGTCAAAAATTTGGTCAGCCAACGATCGTTGTCTTCTTAGACATACGAGCCGCGTTTGACTCAGTTGACAGAGCTGCCCTCTGGAATTGTCTATTGAGGATTGCCGGAGAAGCACGTCACCTTACTTCAAGTCATCTATTCTCAAACCTCGGGCCGAGTTCAGGTGTACGGCGAACTTTCGCCCACCTTTGGTATCACTAGCGGCGTGAGACAGGGTTGCCCAGCATCCCACTTCTATTACGCTATGGATGAAATCTTGGACAGTGCTCTGGAGAACTGCGAACCTAGCGGCGTCGAGCTGCTTCTAAGGGACCGAGTTCGGGATTTAGAGCATGCAGACGACATCGCCGTAATCGGCACTTCCTCACAGGCTGCCCATTATGTCCAGTGTATGTTGGAGATGTCTGTCTCCCAGTTTGGAATGACCTTCGCATCATCGAAATGCAAGGTTTTCCCGCAGGACTGGCTAGGCGCTGCTCCTAACCTTACCCTTCTATATCATTCATTGGAAGTGGTGGACAAGTTCGTTTACCTCAGAAGCTGCCTCAGCGCTAATGATTCAACGGATGAGGTCTCTATGCGCGTCTCCAAGGCTCGGGTTGCTTTTTCCAAACTCCGCCATCTCTGGCGTCGAAATGATCTGATTCTATCTCTGAAGGGCTGAGTTTACAATGCCTGTTCGCGTAAAGGATGTTGAGAGGCTATCTGTTTTAATACACCGCAGCCTTCGGAGCATTGCTGGTATACGATGGCAACACCATACTAATAATGAAGATGTTAGACGAAGGATTTTCAGGTCAGGCAAACTTTGCCTGCCACTGAGCAGCAAATTCAATAGCTTGGCATGTCCTTCGCATGCCTACTCACCGTTTACCTCGTTGCCCTCTTCGCGTGCGCAGTCGTCTGCTGGAACCAAAAACAAAGTGGCCAACGTGACTTGGGTCAGGAGCATGAAAGAACTAACGTCAAAGTTAGCCGTGATCGGGCGCTGTCGGCTCCCTGGCTGGAGTGTGAAGAATCCGGAACACGCATGGCTGGAAACACTTGGATATGGCAAGAAATCGTGCACAATGACGGACTTGTTGTGACTCACTATTCCCATGAACACCGGTCTTTTCCCTCTATCTTCGTATGTTTATTGTATTTTCCATACTTTGTGGCACTATGCCAACCGTACTGTTGGCCGTGTTCAGTATATATATATATATATATATATATATATATATATATATATATATATATATATATATATATGGGTGGGTGGGGTGTATTCGCTACCAGCGCCAGGCTGATACCGCGGCCGACGCGAATGCCCTTACATATCATCGCTACTGCGATCGATTCATTCCGGTTATCTTAAATGGTCTCTTCCTTCCAGACGTGCTTGTGCATGTGGGTCAGACGACCTCGCCTCTATTCTTCAATAGCACATTCAGGGGAATCCGGAACAGCAGCTCGAAAATGATTGTGGGCTGTGTCGCGTTCTAGACCTAAGCTTTCGACGAAGCCACTAAACCGGCCATGACTAATTCTGCAGCACCCAATAGCAAGAGACCAAATAAACTGCTCCCGAAAGTAGTCAGTTCAACGATCCAGATGGCGTTCTTTATTATGAATTGGCGCATCGGTGATGTCCATGACTTCCCCACTGACGCGTAACACTGGGACCAGTGGTGCGGATTAACTGCAAGTGTGCCATGATTGCTTACTGCTCCGGCCTCGCTCATTTTGTGGACCATTTAGGTCTACCAGGCTTGCCTATAAGTATACATGCTGCGTTTCGGTGTGCACCTAGTGGCTCATCTAATCACATAGTGTTCAAAACCAGCAGGGTTTTTATGGATTCAAACAGGTTCACATACCCCTTAGAGATCCAGTGACTGGTGCGATGGCCACTGATACTGCCCCAGCGCCGTACATGGCGATTAAGATTCCATTCCACTGTAGCTCCGTGTCCTTATGGTGGGAGGATGAAATTTCGGTACGCAGCGCATGCTAGTAGGCTCATCTGCCCTAGAGTTGGGATAACTTCGCAGTTGATAGTGGAGGGAAACGTCCGAGTAAAATTGACAGCGTAACGAGGCACGTCAACGATGGAATCAGACCACCATAAACTTATTGCGCTGTGGTATATTTCAGTCCAGTGTTGGCCAGCTATTGGAGGATGTCAAGTGGCAGAATGACGCACAACTGCCACAAAGTCTCACCATTGTCCGCGCATTCAGAGTTAAATTCAGACTCACCCCCTTGCGCATTCAAAGCCTCAGCAATTAGAATAGTATCTGAACTGGTGACGCTGCGAAACAACGTGTTGAATTTGTGATAGAAGACATTCATCGATGTTATCGGGGGGAGGGCATAAGCGGCAATAACAAAAGACCGACTTTAGCGCTGCTTCATGCTCACGGGAATCCAACCAACCTTGAAAGTGAGAACGATGCCCACCCCAGCTTAACCTGTGGTTGATACATCGGCAATCACAGTAACCTAAACAACAGGCGAAGCGCGGTTGTTTCGATGACCGCGTGTAGTAAATCATTGATTCCAATTTTGGACATGAGTGTGCGTTCAAGCGCAGTTTTAGGATGCGAAGTTGAATGTTGCCAAAAAAACACGGCAGCTTGATTTAATAAGGTGAATGTCAATAAAATGAGTCTATTGCATGTTGCTGTAATGTAGCTATAGAAGGAAGAACTCTAACTGCATTGCAACCGCCGTCAATTAAACTGGATTGTAAAGCGTGTAGGGATTAAGAAAAATAGGCGATAAATACTGACTGGAGGCATCAGCAGTAGCATGTTTTCGCTGATCCAGTGTTGACTGCAGTAGATAGAGTGACCCTTTTGGAACTGCGCAAAAGCCGATGTGACTCGACGTGGACAATAAATTTATTTATTCTTAGTTACCCGTAAGCTAAGATACTGCCAAGACGTCCTAAAATTTAAGACTATGGCTTAAAAGTGGAACCGTAAGGCAGCGAAGAAACGGCAACGACCAAATTCTACGGAAATGGAAGCCATCCTACTTTCAGACCTTAAGACGGAGTACCAGGTAGAGTAAGTTCTACTGACATCTAACCATTGATTAGTCTGAAAGGGTGGCTCTCAAGAGGCCCAAGGGCACCATATCGTATACTTTAGTGGGTCGAAGAGGTAAGTAAGCTGTCACATCACGTTAGACACCAATCTTGTCTTGACTGTAACCAATAGGTTGACATGGTATACGTATTTCGCACCTTATGCTAAGTCCGCACAAACTAAGACTGGATGTGTCAAGCACAAGTCATCACGAATTTGCGTCGCTGGTGTACAGTTCCCGAATAGAAAAGCACATGACCACTGTTATGATTATCGTGTGATAAGCAATGCAAGTTCTCTAATGCTGAGAAGTTGCAGCAGACGCCATTATCTATTTTTGTGGAAGCTCACAGATTAAACTGATGCTTGCTTATAGCAGTAAGATTACTGTCCCAATGAAGCAAGTGATTCACATTTCAGGCAAAATCGCTGAATGTTCCATGGGACGTTCGAGATTTCATTTGAGTTGCACCACGAGTCCTCATAGCTTGTTCACGATATCCACATCACACTGAAGCGCTCTGTTGTGAATTGTGTCCTTAGTGGTTATTAAAACTCCTAATTCAAAGCGGCCATGTCCGAGATCAAAAGATTTATAGCTATAATGTGACAACACAGGACACACTAATTCCACCGAAACGCTATAGATCTACCTCCACGTTGCGCGTCATCTGGTAAGAGTTAGGGGCAGTCAAATCGTGTTCATCATATACTAGCAATCTTGTTCTTGGTGCCACTAAAGGGGTGCCTGTCAGTCTCGTTTTTCTCACGCATTCCCTTATAGTGAAATTCGTTCAATAGCCTAACTGTCACAATGCTCATTGGTTCGTGTTCTTAAGTTGCATGTACCACATTCTCATTTTGGTAGAATCTTTCCCGCCACTCTGTTTTGTTTAGGAGTACATCCTCCTATGCTGTCAGAAAGTTTCGTACACAAGACCCGGTCTGAGTGTTCCGACCCATGATTCAGACGGACGTGACCCATTGTCAGTTAGTTCCAATGTTGTGCGTATTGAGGGAGAAGGTGGTCTTATTGACAAACCTGGAAAAAACGCCGACTGCTACCATACGTGTTACGCCCTGAGCGGGCTGAGTGTCGCCCAACATTCGCCGCGTCCCCGATTCGCTTCGGTCGATAACAAGTGTCTTCATATGTCCATCGGCGTACCAAATGCTGCCGCACCCGTTAGTATCCTTTGCGACGAGTTCGGGAACGAACTTGCGGACCTCGACCCGCTTCACAACATTCTAATGGACGGCCTTGCGTTTACAACAGTGTACTACACGGAGCTGGATGCAGGCGGAAAGTGCTTCGAAGAGGCCGAAGTGATAGCATTGAAAGCCGCCGAAACGTGCATTCCGGTCGCATTTCCGCGGACAACAACTAGCGAAACTTCCCGGTCGCATGAAAATCAAAATTTCCCAGAGCCAGAGAACTTCAAAAGCACATGTACAACTCCGTGATAATTCAGATAAACATTTTGTTGCATAAATCAGCATCCATTATTACCAACACCGATACCTAATTAGTCGCCCTGAAACGGTGGCATAGTTGCCGTTTGTTCAACCAGAGCATATCACAGCAGAGCTGACAAAAAGGGAATTGGATGGGCCTCCACGCAGTGTTAGATCGCATTGACTGACTGAGGTTTCTGTTTCGGTTCGCGACCGTATAACATTGTGGCTGCAATCACCAGGGTAGCTCCAACGAAGGTGCATCTGCGGAGAGAAACATGGATCACGGTCAATAAGATAGTAACAAACGTCGATTACGCATAGATAGTGGAAACGCAGCTTTCAGTGCAGGTATGCATGTAATGTACTGGGGATTTGCCCATCGGCAAAACTCAAAACTCACACCGTAGGCTGGAAATCGCCAAGGACAAAGTAGGAAATAGCGCTCGATAGGAGCATAGACAGTCCGGTAGCGAATCCTTTGAGTATATTGTCCGCATATTTCATTACGAAAGCCACGCAGAGTCCGCTGCACGTTTGCAAAACTATGATAAGCCACACGAGAGGAGTGTAGCCTTGAAAAAATCCGTTATTAAGCACGGCTTCTCGATCAGAGGCGTAGACACCAATAAGCCCGACAACGATTCCAAACGCAGCTGAAGTATTGAAACGATTTCAATTGCTGTATGATGAACGGGGTGGTGGGTATTGGCGTAGGATGTTATCAGTAGTATATAAATATTGGCGAATAATCGGTCAGGACTAGCGGTGAAAACTTATCAAACGGGATACAACGCGCAATTAGACTAGTACTATCTCCGCTGGATTGTTAAACAATGTAACGGTTAGAAGAATAGATTTGAGATTATTTCCGCTATTGTTGGCGAGATAATAAACACACCGAGTTGAATATTCCTCATCCAGATTGAAGGTGCAGTGCCTTTGAGTATTTTCTCGAAGTACACTCCAGCGAAACCACTACTGACCGTTGCGAAAACGATGGCGCAAAGCCCAGCGAAAGGGGATGAAGCGGTGCGATTTGATGGTGGAGAACTGCTCACAGTTTCAGGATTAAGCTAAAAAGTTAGAACAGGGAAAGAAGGAATGAACACAAAGTCGAAGCGTTTTGATAGCTGTAGAGTGCATCCTCCAAAACTCTCAGCGAACTAACATTTGACACTTATCTCTAAAGAATAACTTTGTGATATCCAGCTGCCGAGATCGGAGCCTAGCACCTCGACAGCATCTTACATTGATATCCAGCGGCCTAGAAAGCCGCGAACTATTCCTATTTGAGATGGCTAGTATCACCCATTGGGTTTTAGCGGCTGTGTCGCATGACACGTAGCCGTCAGTTGTCGGACAGAAAACGGAAGTGATGATCCGATCATGAGCGTTTGGAATTTCAGGCTCATCAAGGATAGACTGTGGATCTCTACTATGAGCTCGGATACAACTAAACGGCGCATAGGCCGCAAACTTATCATAACTCATTAATCGGGTAATAGATACGTTTTAATGCTTCTGATCATGTTTCGATGGGGTTATGCAGATTTAGATTTCTGCTCGCTCCACAACACAGTATTCAGATTAGAGGACACAGTGAACCGTACTTCGTTGTGATGTGGACACCGCGCGGACGTGCTTTTGTGGAAACACATCACCTTCCCGAACATGTTTGTTACTTATATGCCAATCTGATTCAAAGGAACTAAATGAGATCAGTTCAAGTGGCTTTCTTCCCGCAGAAAAGTGAAGGAAATTCGAATCGATTATGCAACTGCGCATTACTGTAATCGATTACCGTGCTTTGGAACTGAACTGCGCAAGAATGCTTTGACTCGCGCTTAGATGAAACATGTGCTAACAGATTGTGTAGACATGCCGTTGAGGGAGTAGATCGAGAAGTCATGAACCGTCTGCAAGAAAATGGATAACTTTGGTCGGCAAACATGAACAGTAAAAAATATCAGTATCAGTGCTTCCTAATCACAACATGAAACGATTTATGTGCCTTACGAAGAAAATATTGTTTTTACCTGCGAGAGAACAATGCCGAGACAGAGCATCACTAACGCGATCCACTTGGCAGCCGAAAGTTTCCGCCCAAGAAGTATGACCATGAAAATAGCAGTGGTGAAAATCTTGAACTGATACAGAATTTGATATGTGACTGCATTGAGGTTTGAGATGGCAACATATAATAAAGTATTCTGTATTGTGTACAACACAGAAGGTACGAGCACCCGAAGCGTGTCCCCGTAATCGTGAATCACTTGCTTGTAAATGGCCTTGGCTGCTCTTTGAACGCTACATTCTGTGAACAAAATGAGGAAGTAATCATGAATTGAGAAACGCACACAACTAAATCTACATAGATACACTAAACCACGGACTAGCCAACTACTAGTGGTTCGGATGTGATCGAGAATTGCGCATCGTAACCAATGCCTTGACATGGCGAAAAACCCCGAAAACACAAACCAAACAATCAATGGTTAAGGTTAAATCAAATGCAGAGCGTTCATGTCCACCCAGAACAGCACGTGTCAATCTGACAGGTTACTCACTGCGAGCGAGAAACAGGTGGTATGCGACTGCTGTAGACTTCTCCATTTTTCAAAGACTAGGTATTTCACAGCTTTTGATAAGATACCAGCACTTATTCGCCAGACTCCTATTCCCGTGAACAAACTAGTAATTTATATAAACGCGGTGAGTACTACTTCTTTCAAGAGCTACATTCATTGGTTCAGGGCCGATTCGACTGAATTCCAAAGCCGACTGGGTTTATCACGAGATAAATTCCACATGTAGACCTATTTGCACGTGATAAATGTCATCAAAAAGATCTAAAAAGGCGAGGTTACGGTCAAGTTGTCTAAGAAAGTGGAGGGACTCACAACAAATGGAAATAGCAGTGGTTGAAAACAAAGCCTTGACCTGGCTGATGATTAAACACAAACCACCGGTTGGTAACTATTCGCGGATCGTAACGAGTGACCTATGACCGACCCTTCCATTTAGAGCTAATGGTGTACCGCAAACGCATAAATCTAATGTTCCAGTTAGCTCTGCTGTATACGGCATCGGTCCCCGTGAACACGAACTACCTGAATATCTGGCAACCTTATTGTAACCTCTGGTGTAGAGGGCGGGTTTATTCCTGCGAGAAGTGGCAAGTCAAACCATCGATTCATAAAGAGTGGTGGTCAGCTTTGATGTTAGCTCTGAGTTCGTCAACGCATCGGCAGGAAATTTGTTAAGGAATACAACATGCCGTCCAAAATCGGGACACCAACCTGCGATTGACCGAGTTATCGAAGAAGTGATTTGCCTTACCATAGACCCAGGAAATTGTGCTTGCCACACGCCCACCAACGCCCTCGTATTGGCGAATCTATAGATGGAGTGATTTAAGCGAATGGTGCTAACAGACCTCAGTAGCTAACCAGAATCTTGGTGGCGCTACTTAGACGAGGCTGCGTGGAGTGGGGTAAGCAGCTGTCTACTGATAAGAATGTGTACTTTACTAGAAGATTACTATGTTGCGGTGGCGCGTCACCATCCTTGGTTACTCAATTCACAGAAATGGAGAAACTTCAAAAACATTTCTAGACTAACAGACAGTTATGTTATCATCGTCTCATCTCTCTTTCCTAGAGCGGATACTCCGTTGCATGGAGAATGAGCGCATCATGGTTGCATACGATTGGACAGTGAATAAATTAGCAGTTAATCGACATCCGAAGCGATTGGTAAAACGACCGTTACAGGTCTTAGGTCCGCATCTGAGACCGACAGCGCATTGTACAGAGACAGTAACAACTTCGAGGGTGATTCGCACGATCCCCATCTTTTAAGATGAAAATGGTAGTGATTTTACAAAAAACTAAGTATTCTATTTGGTGCATGTGTATATGAAGGATCAACTTCCTGCAAATAGGAGAGTCAGCCGCAAGAACTTTGCATAGGTCAAACCGCAGGAAAGCCGCGTACGGGGATCGCGGAACATCCCGGATGCATGTCATAGCCGCTGATGAACATCCCTGAATGGAGCGCCGCTTCTTCCAGTAGGGCACGAAACCGATTTAGAAAAGATCGGGATCATCAATGGAGGACGGCCAGCAACATCACAAGGGTTAAGTCCAAGGGAAAAACCCTCTGTATGCTGAATGTGCCACTGATTTCAGCTGTTGTCTAACGGTTCAGTTAAAAAATCATGGTCCGGGCGTCGAAACGCGACGAATCCAATTACCACCACCAGCATCACCAGAATAACAGCAAGTAGCAATATTTAAAATTTGGAGTAGAACACTGAGAGGATACGAAGAAAATGTAGTTGAGAAACAGTGAGGTTGATCGAGATAGAACACTAACAGCTAGATTTAAGAGATCGAGTGCAGAAGTGCCACAGACTGCGCGACTGCATGTCTGATAGAGTCTTTGACTACTAATGTGGTGCATCCCGAGTTCACGTCTCGGTCGATTTCTTCATGCCTTTATTGCTCATCACCGACCAGCCACCTCATAGTTTCACTCAAATGGATGCAGCGAAGAAAGTTAACGGTTCAAATCAAACAATTGGGTCGCTAGAGAGTTTCGTACACAACGCCAAATGGTAAACTTCAGCATTGCACACACGACGTTCCCAACAGATGTGAGCAATACTCTGTAGGAACTCGAGATTGAGGCTGGGCAACCTCTTACTGTCATCAGCGCAAAGTGGCCAAATCTGATACATACGATAACACTGATTGCCAGATGTATCAAAAGTAGACTAAAAGCAGCCTCTCCGTAATGCATCTCGGTTCGATATTGATTAAATGTTACATGCCTCGGAACGTCCCTCCTTCGGTTTCTCAAGATCACAAGAAATATGGTCTCTACTTCATTATTGGGTCTTGCATGGGCATTCCGTTGGTCGGCTTCTCGTGTGGTCGATGAATATACTTTGTATATTTTATTGCAGTGTCATACACTCTACCATGGACTGACACTCGTCCACACAGGTAGTTGTGACTCCAAAAAGCCCTAGGCATTTTGCTTTCTCAGTGATCTGACCGCCATAGATGACACAGCTATCAAGGTAAGTGAACCGATTGAACAATTCCAGAGACCTTGTTGCCAGACGAGCGACTAAAACACAAAATGGATGGACTATATATCTATCATTTGAAACCGGGACCAGACTCAAGATAACACCGCTGCATAGGCTGAAGTAAAGCGCTAGACGCTCCGCATCTTCAAAATGCAAAGGAAAGACATAGAAGTGATGACTTCGCGGGTGGCTTTCCAATGGTTCTATCAATTATAGAGAAAGATGGATATTATTCCGCAAATTAAGGCCAGTGCGCACAACACCGTAGTTCGCATCGCGTTATCGTATTTAACAAGAACACGGCCGATGAGCATTGAAGTCAGTAGACCATTCGTTTATCACTGCCGTTTCATGTGGATCACTGCCCTGATGCGGTGGGAGCACTCCGTGGAACTTCGAATGCCTGTCGGTCAGTGTCTAACAACAGGCTCTTAGGTGCAGCACAGAACGCTTTATCCAGCTTGAACATACTCCCGATGGGCTGCGAGGCGTTCACATTCCTGCTCAACACAGCTGCCTCGGCGTGAATTGGTTGCTGGTGCTACAGCCGAATGGGAGGCGGAAAGAAAGGTATCCGCAGTACGCTGTGACTGCACTTCGCTGCCACACAACCTGCAACAGTCGCAAGTCTCGAAACTGTGACTTGTGTGTTACATGCTTCAGCAATACGCCGGTACGCCATACCAATGCCCCCCTACCACCAACAGTCGCGCGCGCGTTAGGGATGCTGCGAGGGTCGCCTGGTCTCCTACGCAGGCTCGAACCCGCGACCTCTGGGTTGCAAAGTTGACGCCTTGTTCTTTCGGCCACGTGGCGGCTATGGCAAGTTAAGCGCCACCGTATTCTCTCCAACGAGTTAGCTGTTTTATAAAAAGATATATGACAGATCGATTAAAGGAAAGTCAACATCATTTCATTTCACTCAATCATTTAGTATGCTTTTGTTGTCCTTCCAGACGTCATTATCTGATTTGATCGATCAACGTTCAATGCAAGTACGCATTTACCCGATAATGCAGACATTGGTGTGGCTCGCATCGTCAAAAATAAGTTTATTCATATATGTTGATTTAATACTGACGGCACTCAAGCAGATCGTGAAGTGAAACAGAGCCTGTCTTTAAAAAATACCAATGAGCTGAAAATTATTTACAAAATAGTGCAAATGTCGCTACTCAAGCAAAATGCACAAAGCCCCAACAATTCAGAGACTCAACAGCTCACGAAGAATCATCAGCATTATTCCACAACGCGAATAAAAACAATACGAATGATGTGGTCCATAGACCAACCCCAGGCTTAACATGGACGAATGGAGAGCGCGCTGCTGGCATTCTGAAGGAAACAATACTTAGAGATGAGGGGTCGGGTACTCCATCCCATCCGCAAAGTTGGACATTCCTCATTCGGGTGTCAACTCATGCCCAGCTGTGTGCGTTACAGGTCAGACGCTTAAACCGATCGATCACTAGCCGCTAAGAGTGGTGGAATTGCAGGAAGAACGTGACCGAGAGGCTTCGCCTGGCGGGCACATACATTTTTCCTGTGATAGTTACCTCATGTGATATAGGTTAGCCACAAAGCAAGCAGCACATTTGCATTTGGTTTGCCAATACTACCTGGAACAGCTGTCACTCCTGTTCTAACCCATTTCCGCTGAATTGTTTTTCGTCGGTGTCATCTGTTCGTATCACGGTGGTTTGGGTCTTGACTGCTACATCCATCGTGATTTGGTTCCCGGATTGATTGTGATGAGTCAAAACAAAGTGAACAAGCAAGTTGACAAAAATACCACACAAGTTTATTCGAACCGAAACCGAGACTCCTAGCGCAAACTCCGGTCGTTTCAAGTTAATCGGGTATTCTGGCACACCATTCCCATGGATGTTCTGCGAGATGATGACCATTGGATTGGAATCTAATTTCTATGATCCAAGTTGATGGGTCTCTCAAACCACACACGAGACAGTTCATGAACCGAGCCAAAGTGCAATGTGGATCCGGTTACCACAAAGTGCTCCGGCATGAAAAATAGGACTATGGGGAAGTAGACTAACAAACGAAATCCAAAGAAAAGAAAATAGCCGAAACCGTCCTATGGAAACTTAATGGCGTCACTCAAATTATGAATGAGATATGCCAAATCAGGCAGCACTAAGCACAAACAAGAAAATGTGAGGATGATCCAGAAAGGCATTGGCAGATGATTCTAAATTTCGCTGGCAAATTGCCGCTTGGTTGGTATGAAAGTCAAGGCACCGTGGTGTTTAGAGAGCAGAACCAAGTCTATGTTTTCGAACAGCAACTTTCTGGAGAAGTTAACGTAAATTCGAGCAGAAGGAAAACAATTTAACTTAGGCGTAGATGTACGCGTTCTGAATTCCAAGGATGTAGTTGCAGTCAGTCAGTAGGATCATAATAATTACCTTCTGAGGAGCAGGGAGCATTTGATTTCTGCACACAATAAGACCACCAGTAAACGGTAGGCCTAGATCTAGTAGTAAGTATTGTAATCTAGTTATAGGGTGCTAAATGAAACA